TTAATCGTATTCAAGGCGCTTCATCTGCTGCATGCACAGCCTTCCGTCTCCCCAACAGCACTTTGCATATTTTCCACATTACCAGTGATGCAGCAGCTTCCGCCCGCCCTGCAGAGGGTTCACGCCAAAGACACACCTTTATAAACGAGCCTCAGGCTCATCTACCCCTTTTCTCCCCACCTCTCCCTCCCAGCATGGAATACGATGACCCGTGTGAAGAAAGAACACTGGGAGGTGCATAGGATTACAAGGAGTGGATAAGTAACAAGCACAGTGCCGCTTTGCCAACTGAGATTTTCTTGTAATTGGCTTGTTTACCCGGCCAAGAGTTTTTTCACCTTGTCCTGCTCTGGTTGTCCCCTTTTCCCAGTATTTGGGGGTACTAGCTGGCTCTCAATGGGATAAAACAAGGCAGATGAAACAATGCCACACTGAGGAGTGGAAGAGAACAAACCATGCACCATCCCTCCCCCATACAACCCTTCCCGTCCATGCAAGGCAGAAGGCATGGGTTAGCTGGGCTGCAGTTTGAATTCCCAGGTTGCCCTGCCACAGTGATCCCGTGTCAACCTGCAGTATTACTGTGGCTGTTCTCGCTGAAACGTGAACTCATTTAGGGAAAAGAAATAAGGCAAAAAGATTTTCTTTGGAAGTGATCACAGGTGGTTTTTTAAAATTTAGGTCAAGAAAGCATCAGGGCTTTAATTGTTTAAGAATGTATACTGATCACAAAAGACTTCATGAACCTAACTTCCTCTCTCCCACTCTCTAAGGTTTTTTTGTTTTTTAAATTTATTTGAAAGGCAGACAAGATAGACAAGACAAACAGAAAGAGATCTTATATCTACTGGTTGATTTCCCCAAATGGACCTAACAGCCAAGACTGAGCCAAGCAGAAGCCAAGAGCTTGGAACTCAATCCAGGTCTTCCACGTGGTTGGCAGCAAGACCTAACCATCTGAGACATCACACGCCGCCTTCCTGGGGGTGCACGGGCAAGAAGCTAGAATCAGAAGCAGAGCCGGGACTCAAACCGAGGCACGTTGATGTGGGATGCAGTGTCCCAAATGCCTGCCTCAACTTCCTGAACCTTAAGGCACACAGTCTAAGCTGCCAGACGCTGGATTTGTGCTGGAAGCCTTTCAAGAAAATAAACTGGGAAACTCTGAGGGACGAGAAGGTGGACGGGACTGACCTCCAGAAGACATGTGGACATTCTCTAACCTCCAGCACCCCAAAGGGGTGAAATCCCTGTCCCCCCTCAGAAAGAGAAAGGGAAGCGATGCCTTCTCATCCTTACAACTGGCATCATTAGGTTCAGTCTCAAAGCTCTGAAGGCAGCCTTCCTTATAGGGAGACAGAGACCAACAACCAGCTTCCTACACCTGTCCACCAACCCCAACCTTGCAACAAAACGGCTCTATTCCTGCGTAAGACTTTCTTGTGACTGGCTTGTTTACCAGGCTGAGAATTTTGCCACTTCTTCCTGCGCTGCTCTCCTCCTTTTCCCATTATTTGGGAAAGCAGTAAATCATCCTTGTGTACCTAGGCTATCAAAGTTGCGGCCAAATCAAAGTAGAAATGGAAGAGCCAACTAGCAGGACACAGAGGCCCTGCAGGAGGATGGGGGCCTGTGCTGGCGTGGCCAGAGCCAGTGTGGGCTTTTCTGCCGTTTTCCAGAATTGCAGGATGCGGGAAGTCCATTTTCAGGTTTGAAAGATGTCTTTTTCCCTATGATGAATGTGGAAGTGCTGCCTAATCATGATGGAATTTTACAGAAAGAGGTGTAAGGGGCTGAAAACAAAAAACAGGTTAGCAAACGGAACTGTCTGTGAAAACACATGCATCACAGAGCAACGCCAAGCTCTGAGAAGCCAGCGGTATGGGGGGGGGGGGAGTTCCAGCTCGGGAAGGTGGGAAATCTTCACTCAACCCCATCCCCCTACCCCCGAGGTGCCTCTGAGAGAGAGACAGGGTATCAGGAGCGTCACACAGTAGGGTGACCCTGAGTCACCAGGGTCACTTTGCTAGAGAAAACTGGTTACTCGAAAGAATAACATGATAGATATGACATCAGTCACTTGATAAGTCAGCATTTTTTTTTTTTTTTTGACAGGCAGAGTGGACAGAGAGACAGAGAGAAAGGTTTTCCTTTTCCATTGGTTCACCTCCCAATGGCCCCTGCGGCTGGTGTGCTGTGCAGATCCGAAGCCAGGAGCCAGGTGCTTCTCCTGGTCTCCCATGCGGTGCAGGGTCCAAGGACCTGGGCCATCCTCCACTGCACTCCCAGGCCACAGCAGAGAGCTGGCCTGGAAGAGGGGCAACTGGGACAGAATACGGTGCCCCGACCGGGACTAGAACCTGGTGTGCCGGCGACGCTAGGCAGAGGATTAGCCTAGTGAGCCGCGGTGCCGGCTGTCAGCATTCTATAGACAGAAAAAACCCAAGCTCTTAGGGCAGGCATTTGGTGCAGTGATTTGCTAATGTGCTTCTTGGGAGGAAGCAGGTGACTGCTCAAGTGGCTGCATCCTCGCCACACACACAGGAGGGGAGGCCTGGACTGAGTTCCAGGTTCCTGGCTTCAGTGTGGCATAGCCCCAGCTGTTGTAGGCATTTGGGGAGTCAGTTAGTGGATGGAAGATCTCTCTCTCCCTTTCAAATAACTAACAAACAAGTAACATGACTTCCCTTACTTATAAAAAAAAGTCCCGAAAATATGAGCCCAAATTAATTCCGTTGATGCTCTAAGTCATCATTTTGAAGGAGAGCTTAAAACTGCAGCACCGAATTATTACAAATAATATAACTTATAGAAATGACTTCCATGCCCTGAAATGAAAAGCCAGAGAGTAGGGCCGGTGCTGTGGTGGAGCAGGTAAAGCCGCCGCCTGCAGTGCTGGCATCCCATATGGGCACTAGTTCAAGTTCCGGCTGCTCTACTTCTGATCCAGCTCTCTGCTGTGGCCTGGGAAAGCAGTAGAAGATGGCCCAAGTCCTTGGGCCCCTGCACCCGCATGGGAGACCTGGAAGGAGCTCCCGGCTCCTGGCTTTGGATCAGCCCAGCTCTGGCCATTGCGGCCAATTGGGGAGTGAACAAGCAGATGGAAGACCTCTCTCTGTCTCTGCCTCTCCTTTTTCTCTCTGTGTAACTCTGCCTTTCAAATAAATAAATAAATCTTAAAAAAAAATAAAGAAAACCACTGAAAGGCAGCCTTATAAAACTGCATCACTAGAACAGTAGCAGAAGTCGACCGATCACTGTGAAAGGAGCCAAACTCCTCCAGCCATGAACAGAAAACCCGCGAGGCTGACGGGCAGAGGTGCCCTATTATATTCAAAGAGAGAGAGAAGTTTACAGGAAGGGTGGTTGGTGGCGGTGGGAACCGTTGCTTCTGGGCAGAGAACAATCCTGTACAGGGTTTGGGTGACAGAGGAATGTCAAGGGCAAGGGCACAGCTTGCCATGAAAATCCATGCACATCTCCAACACAGGACAAAGCCCTGTGTCTTTGGGGAGGAAGCCTTTGAATGGACGAGCCCTAGTTTCTTTGTATTTGCAATCATGCCTTCCAAGGGACCCCCCATTTTCCTTAAATAGGTTTTGGTTCATTTCCCCAAAGGTCATTGTGACATTTTGTATGTATCTATGTAGCTTTATTGAAATGTAATTTATAGACTATAAAGTTCACCCATTTAAAGGGTGTGATTCGTTGGTTTTGTTAAGCATATTAACAGGGCTCTACAACCACTACCCAAATCTAATTTCACAGCATTTCATCATCCCCCAAAAGAGTTCTTGTACTTGTTAGGAATGCCACAGCACTGTAAACTATGGGTTCTCCCTGCTTCTCAGCGCATTTTGTCGAAGGAATCGCTTGCTTAAGAAGAGAAATCAAAGGGAAAAAAGAAACATGTCTAGGAAAGGCATTCCTGTGTCCGATTTTACATGAGTTTTGATCCAGAGCCTCTCCTCCTTCCACCAACAGCCTGAGAAGCAGTAAGTCATCAGCTTTTATGAAAACCCCAGTAGCAACTCCAGTCGATCGCGGGCCAGCTAGTCTTTGAGCACGCAGGCTTGTGTGGTTGTCATGGGGAAGGGTTTTCCACTGAAATAAAAATACTCGGGCTCAGCCTGCCACCATCGAGAAAATGCTTTTCGCCCATGCCCACCAGGTAAGTCGCCTAAGTGACAGGTATTTTCCTTGGAGAAGCACTGAACTGGGCTGGTTTACGCAGTCAAATACTGATCACTTTACTAAGAGGAAGGGAGGGAGGGGAAAGGTTAGTGAGACAACACAGAGGCACCTGCCAGCCAGCGAGGGGAATACTTGTAAGACTCCTGATGGGTCTTACACACACACACACACACACACACCTCACTAAGGAAAAAAAAATCACCAAACCAAACCACAGGGTCTGGTCTGTTCCACTTTACCCCTGCCTCTCTGCTCCCCGGTCTTTCTGCAGTCTCTCAGGCAAAGTAGGATGTGCAACACAGCTCGAGTGTCTTTCTCGATGAGGCTTACGTCTTACTATCAGTAACGCAGGTGAAACTCAACAGCGCAAGCCAAAGCTAGCCGGGCCAACTCAGGTGCAGAGAACCTCATGCAAGAATCGAGAGCACCTGCTGACATGATACGGCAAAACCTGGCAGCAACCCCTCAGAGCAAAGGGAGCACTTCCGTCCGAAAAATGGGCCGAGCTCTCTGCCAGTTCCAAAGTCCAGAATGCACTACGCCGTTCAGGTCTTTCCCCCTAAGTTTCTTGTCTCCTGTTTCACTGCACAACCAGGGATCCTTCATACTTTATATGAAATACAACAAGGCGATTTTTGCAGTAATAAACTCCACACATGCATGACAAATCCAAGCATGCAAAATGTTTAACATCCCAGTTCACAGATACTTTAGGGACAAAATCCGATTATGAATTATATGCCACAATAAATAGGGCTCAATGTTTCATAAAGCAATTTATAGTTCATAAAAATGACAAAATGTACCTGTCAGATAGAGCGCGGAGACCCGTTCTCTGGGCTGCCTGCTGGAAGAAAGGGCAGAGATGTTTATTTAATATTCTGACTTTTAAATTATGTGCTCAATCAACACTTTAAAAAAATCCGTACTACACACATTTTTGTCAGGTGGCCAAATTTTAAATTACTGGCAACGGTAGAGAGTCCTGTCTTGTTAGGCGATGAACATTCTTGGTGCATTAACTGAAACAAGGCGCACCAGCCACCAGGGGGCGAGCTTGGGGCAGCGCCAAGTTCTTGACCTAGGTGAGGCTGGACAGGTCTCAGGAAACCTGGCAATGACCATAGTTATTTTGTTTTTACTCCCTGGAATCATTTTCCCATTCTTATATTCCGTTTCCTGTAAGAAAAAAAATGTTTTGGTTCCTTACAAGTTTCTTTCCCCATGATGCTGGAATTTCTGACTTGCTTTTCAACTTCATTGAGAGACTTTATTTCACGGCTGGAAACTGGAACAATATCATGGGGTTATTGATTTTGGGGGGAATACGAATGACCCTGTGGCAACTTTTTTTTTTAATCACTTTAAAGATCTGTATTGAAATGTTTATGGGTTTGCTTTAAAATAAAACAGCATGGTGTCGGAGGGTGGGCCCAGCCCTGGGATGGTGACTGCTGATGTCAGATGGTGAGCTCTGGGGGGAGTCATTTATTCTGGGCATTTTTGTATGTGAAGTGAAAAATTTTTTTTGCAATTTGTATTGCAAATGCACTGGTTTGGTTTTTGATTTTTCACTTCTTAGAGTTGGGTTGTGTGTGTATGAAGGGATTTCTGAATGGGGAAGAATGGAATGAAAAGGTGGTTTATTTTGGCACAAAAGTTTCTCATATCTGGCACAGTTCTTTCATTTAGATTCCCCTTGACCTTTCTGAAGACCCCTTTTATATACGCACTGAAATTTTCCATGATAAACAATTAGTAAATAAATTGACCTCTATTTCTCCGCTCGGTTCCCAGTTTCGTCCTCTCTTTTCCTTGTCTCTTGCCTATTCTATTTCCATCACATGCCTGCATCACAGGGCACCCCGAGGCTAAGGAAGATGAAGGGCATGCTGACGGCCATGGCTTCCTTGGGGTGCACCAGGAAATAAGCAGAGTGCCCGTGATCACTTCCACTTTGCACAAACCGCCTGTCCATTTGCTGCCTGCCAGGGACAGCAAAGTACTGCACTGTTGCCTTATCACACCGAGACAGAAGACAGAACAAACTTCAGATTAGAAAAAATGACACATCAGAACCACTACTCCTGCTATAGAAACAAAACATCCACGAGGTGTCAGTTCCATGTCCTCGAATCAGTCCAATTTCTATAAGTGACACAACATTGATCAAGGAAGAACCACTGGATCTCATCAGCTAGGGACTGGGAGTCTGGCACCCTGGGACAGGTCTCACCAGTCATTTATCTTGGGCCCTAACTGTGGCCCTCAACCATTGCCTCCATTTCCAAACTGCCCTCTCCTTCTCTGAAAGGGACGCGGGAGGATCCACTAAGCCGACGTTACTGCCCTGTTCCTGTTCCCTGGACGCTGCGGCTTACGGCTCACTGTCCTGGCATTCTAGTGTCACAAAACTACTTTAAGAAAGCACTGAGTTACAGTAACTGGGGTGCTTCCAAGTACTCGTGGAAAATGGAGATAAAGACCATTTATTTGGACATTTTCGAATCTGTGTATGTGGGCGGGGGGCTTCAAAAAAATTGGTGGGAAATGTGTGGCATGAAAAAACGATGCATGGATTTCAAAGTCCACACCAGCTGCTGATGGGCGGCAGCAGCCACTGTCCCCCGGAGGCTCTGTTCTCATCCTGCAAGACAGCTTTCACTTCCGGCAGCTACACTGCAAAAGAACTGCACTCTCTCTCCTCCTGACTCTGCTTGGCTGAATCGACATGAAGTGTTCAGAACTCCTGAAAAGAGGTGGAAGCTATTATTAGTCGTCTCTTTACATCAGATCAGCAGGGAGGCACAGGGGACAGAGTCTCCCTGGGGTAGCAGGCATCACAAGCGAGTTCCACTGAAGCCTCTGCCTTGGCCATGTGAATTCTCAGGCAGGGAGATGGACTCAGGCTGTCAGCATTTAAAAGACTATTGACTCTTTTCTCCCATGCCTTCACATACCTCCTGCTGACTTTTATGATAGGGAAAAAGTGCATGTTGATGTATAGCCTGCAAGAAAATGATTTAGAAAGCAATAGCAAAGCAAAGCAAACAAAGACAAAACAAGAAACTGCTGCTGGACCACCGCTGAGCGCTTAGGAGTTGATGCCTTCCAGGTGGTGGTGCCTGCTGGGAGCGACTTCGCAGGACTGAAGTCACTCGGGTCTTCCAACACAGGGCACCTTAGAGAGCTCACGGAGAGAGGGACTTTAAAGACAAAGTTACCATTTTTTAAAAATGAGTTTTTAAAATTTATTTTAATGTATTTGAAAAGCAGGAAGATGGAGAGAGTGAGGAGAGAGAACACACACAATTTTCCATTTGCAGATTCGTTCTTCAAATGCCCACTATGGCCAGGGCTGCTCCAGGCCAAAGCCAGGAGCCTGGAACTCAATCCGGTCTCCCACATGGGTGGCAGGAGTCCACGTATTTGAGCCATCACCCTCTGCCTCCCAGGGGGAGCATTAACAGGAAGCTGAATAGGAAGTGGAGCCGGGACTTGAACCTAGTCACTCTGATATGGAATGTGGGCATCCCAACCAACATCCTAAACAGGTAAGTTTGATGCAAAACAAAACAAAACAAAAAAAAAAAAAGGAAAAATTTAACATCCATGCAGTTTTTCACGACATACATTTTCTGTGCACTTTTTGAGGATGTTTTGTATATACAAGTTTCAATTTTTTTTGCACCAAAACAAACTTGTCTTCTAATTCCAATTTCCACAAACTTTTTGAAGGCCCTTGTATAAGGTGGGCCGGAAGCCTGGAGCAGAGAACAAGAGGCCACTTCCCTATAGCAGACAGACAGCACTCTGGGACTGAAGGATCCTTCTGGACTATGCAACCAGGCTCCCCACTAGTCAGCACGCAGCATCTCTGTGTGTGTCCTCACTCATCTGCCTGCATGGTGCGCATTACCACACCCCCAACACAGTGCTTCCTGCTCTCATCAGTTGCTTGCACCACTATATTGTTAACGTCTGATTTGATTGTACGATTGAATTTGCAGTTACTCTACATTATTAAAAACTTTACAGAGAACAACTCACCATCCATCAAGAAAGGAGATGAGAATATGCTAAATATTTTAAATCATTCCTTGAGGGGAGTAATAAAAAATACCCCTTTTGGCATTAGATTAAAATTGCATGTCATATGACAAAGTAAAGACCACCAAGATTATTTTACTGCCTCCCCTCTCACAAAACACTCTTCAGGTTTTGCACACTATTTTATTTTATTGCTGGAAAATAATAAAAGAAATAAACATTGGAACTAAACAGCAAAGAAAATAACCTAGGTGACTCATGATTGAAGTCTGAAAAATTACTCATAGTAAACTAGATGAATTGCCCAATTTCATTCCTTCAAGAGTTGTATGTTGCAGCAACCTTATTTTCTCTTCCTAAATCTCTCATCATCTCCTCCTCACAGCTTTCTTTTTACTCAGTTCTTGGCAAATTAGGTGGAGAGGGTTAATAGGAGGCTTCATTGATCTTTCTTGAGTTCATTATTCATTCATGAATGACTGAAGCTCAACTCCAGGAGACAAAACAAGCTTTCTGCCAGAAATAGTCATTTTCCAGGTTCTCCTTGAGAGATGACATCTCTCCTCTGTCTTTACTGTAGCAAGCTTGGTGCTTGGGAACATCATCAGTAGGTATTCAAGTTTCAATGTACGCTAAATGAATTACAAGTCACAATCTGTTATCGAAAGGAAATCAAAGGGGAAATTAAATGTCCTTACTGTAACTGAGTCGCGCGTAGAACAAGTTCATGGATACTGGATTTGGGGGGTGGGGGGGACAAAGCCAAGAGGCAGACACACAGAAGAGTCCCAGGATGACTCAATTTCTTACTCAACAGAAACAGAACTAACACCTGGACAGGTCTGTAATTCAATATGAAGGACTTACTATGTATAGACACTGGGCTCAGCCTGAATGACAGATAAAACAGACATAGCACTTGCCATAGCGTGCTTAGAGTCTGGACATGGGGCAGACAAGAAAAGTCTCTCTCTCTCTCTCTCTCTCACACACACACACACACCCCCTATTCTTGATTACAAAGGCTATGACTAAAGAAGACAGGGTACTGTTAGGCTAATGAAGACGACCTCCTTTGGAAAGATGATCAAGGTAGATTCACTAAACCAAAGAGTTACAAGGCTGGGATTTGAAGGAAAAGAAGAGTTATCAGATCAGAGAAATGGGAGTGGAAGGCAGAGAAATGGTTAGAGAGCCAAGACTGGAGGCAGGCCTAGACCCTGGCTCAGCTGAAGATCTGCAGAGGCCACTGCAGTGTGGTTCTGCAAGTTGTGGCCGAGAAGATAAGGACGATCCCAAGGGCTCTCTAGGTCAAGTGAAGGACTGTGGCTATCATCCATGAACAACAGGCAGTCCTTGAGGGTTTTATGTTATGGGAGCTGGATAAAGCAAGCATGGAAGCTGCTTGTATATTCTTCACAACGTCCTGGGGCCCCATAATAATTTTTGAAAAGAGTAGGAAGTGAGGAAGATGGCTTACATTCTGCAGCTGTCACTCTGGCTTCTGCATGGGGGAATGGGTTTGGGAGAGAAGGGACGGCATTTGAGGTCATGGCAGTCATTACAGGTAAGAGAAGGGCATGGCGACAGTGCAGATGGAGGGAGCCTGCATTTTATTTTGGAGGTCAAATTGAGGGAACTGGTGATTGACTGCATGTGGCAGGTATCTGGAATGAATTTCAGGTTTCTGGCTTCTATCTCGGGTCTGGATAGAGCAGCGGCTGCTGGAGACGGTGCAGGAGCAGGGAGGAGAAGTGGTTGTTTTGGGTGTGTGAAATTCTAGTTGCCTATCGAATG